AACATATGTGACTTTGGGAGAAAGCCTTTAAAGGTAGAAACCCATATTCTGATAACATAGACTATTAAAGAAGAATTTAGAAAATGAGTCAAACCCCAAACCTAGTGTGATGGCTAGTCACACTCTGACTACATATGAAATTAACTAAAACCCAAGCAGTTGGGTATACCTGTGAGGGATTTTTTTTCTTAATTAAATCATTTGAAGTCAGAAGACCCACGTATAGCCTGGATCTTTGAGGTGGGAGGATTCACCTTTAATACAGATCTCTTGACCAGCTGGAATAACAGCAGTTTGGACCGAAGGTACCTCATGTTTCATTGAAGCACAATTTTCAAATGAGTTAAGTGGACCATCAGCATGTCTGCTTCTACTTCTTCAATCCTAGAATTGGTTAAATTTAGAACAATGCCTAATCCACTTGCATCCATCCAGAGCCAACCAATATACATTGACTGACTTCATATCCAGCATCATATGTGTTCTCAGGCATGACTATCTTAATATGTACAAATGCCTAATAAAGTGCATATCTATATACCCACCAATAACTGAGGAAATCAAATCCCCAAAAAGTTTTTAAGGAAATCACATGGCACAATCCATCATCCACAGCTTCAGAAGAAACTTGGGAAACACTACCATTGTTTTATTTCATAAGTTTAAGCCAAGGCTCTCAGTTGGAGTAAACTTGTTATCTGTTTTCTGGTAGTTTATATATTGTTTTGTTCCCTAAGGCAGTACATGATGAGTGTGTCAGTGTGGATATAAATAACTGTACAATTAGATACTAGGGGGAGGGGAGAATAATTTTAGCTTAAAAATTAAGGCCTCTGTTGTAAAACAATACCTATAAATAGTACAACATTTCTGGGCGTAGGCTCTTTGACAAAAATTCCAATTCTGTCACGTGTTAAAATTAAAACTATCAAATTGAGTGGCTTTGGTTGATTTCATTTCTGTCTCAAGTTGAAACAAGTGAAAAGCAACCCACAAGAGAGTGTGAGCATACTCTGCCATACACAAGTCAAGGCATCCTCAATGCAAATGAGACCATTAAGTCCCAGGCATATCTGAAAATGCTCTATTCCCCAGAGCACAGTAGTTTACTTTTATTTTTCTTTTAAAATGTTTCAGCATTATCTAAACATTTGTCATTTAAGGTATGAATTCTATTGTGTTAGATGCCACGGCAGTGGCTCTTGTCTATTTCATGAGATCTATAACTGAAACTTCTACCTTAAGGACTACCAGTGTTGCTGAGCCACTATCCAAACCTCGTGATCTACTTGGCGCTCTAGAAATACTTCTTTGCTATGAATACCTAACAGCCCAAGAGAGAACAGTTATTTTTTGGTTTGCTATGCTGGGAATGGGATCCAGAGTATCATGCTTGCTAATCAAACACTCTACCAAAGAACCCTCCCCCTAGTGTGACATAGTGGTATTGAAAATTACATTTACAAAATATAAGGTAGTACCACCCAGTCCTGTCATTTTTGAATTACTCTGAGAGGAAATTCTAGTGATTTCTTTCCTCTGTCAGTACATGAAGCTCCTTGGCATCCTCTTACATTGTTATTCGAATTATCTCACCACATCTGTTAGCTATCCATTGCATAGCAGTGTGTTGTACCTTTGAGATAGGAAGCTCTGATTTAAAAGTGGCTCAACAGAAGAAGCGAGTAACCAAATAATTCAGCAGTAAACCACATGTCACAGGCTGCATACCATTCACATAAGATTTCTTCTTACAGGGATGTTGTTATCTGTCACACAAAGACACAGTTCAAGTTCATCTGTCTTTCATATACATGCGTTTCCTTCAGAGTACATAACACACGACTTCAGAAGGTGTTTGATAAATATTTGCTGAATGAATGTTATGGGAATTAATATTGTAAAATGTTTTTAAAAGTTAATTAATATCAAATGGTAGGGAGAGAAAACTCACTAAAGATCACAAAGATAACAGAACTTAGTACAGATTTTGGTACAGTGTCCAAGTAAGGAAATTTCATTTGATAAAGAACTTCTTAAAATCCATATTTTATTTATGTTCATTGTTTTTGGACTAAATCTATATTGATAGCAGAAGAATCCCAGCTAAACACCAACTTGAAAAAGGATAATAGAAGCAATAAACAAATGCTAGCTACAAAAAAAAAATCTCAAGAACAAAAACTGCCATTAGCTTTTCAAAAGATCTTTAAGGCTAAAACAGCAACAACAGTGAGAAATTATATATATTCCATCTGAAATTAAATGACATAGACAGGATTTGAAAACTCCAATGATCTCAAGAAAGAGAATAAAAATTAAAAATTATATACCTAAGGAGAACAAATTTATAGCATTTTAATTTGTTTAGTCAGTTTCATGGGCAGGAATTGTTATTAACAGTTTTCTTTCTTTTCCACATTACATTAAGTATAGAAAATGATCAAATTTTTGCAGTATATCAGGAAAATGGAGGTCCAGAAACCATCTTCAAGGTATGCTGCATCCAAGTCCAGCTTGCTGCCCAAGATGCCAAGAAGTATAAACGAGTAGGCAGGTGTGCAACCCACTCATGAGCAGTTCTCGGCAGCCCACCTACTGGCCAGTTTTTTTTCCTTAAAGTGTGTGCCCTGAGATAACCAGATGCCCCACAAAAACAGGTTCTGTCCATGAACCATTAGAAGTTTGTAGTTAACTATAATTTGCAGGATGCATACCACACTTCTTTTAGGAATTCACAATTTATGAACTATCGAAGTTATCAGAAGAACTATCCCTCCCCCTGACCAGGATTTTTTAGCCATTTTTTTTTAAATTTCAAAACTCAGGAAAATTACTACCATCTCATAGTTCTAAGGATGTTGTTAAATGGAGGCACCCTTCACACCAGAACATAACACCATGACTTGAAAGAGTTAATGTAAAAATATAGCATCCTAACTGTTTTTCATTGGAGGAAAATTTGGACACTAAATGAATTTAATCTTCAAGATGAAATCCACCGGGAACTCTGAGAATGCCAAGGTATCCCATGCCATAATCAGTATTTTTACCCCTAGATGAGCTCTTGGGGAGACTGGAATGCATAGATTCTACAGATAACACTCCCAATCATCTGCAGCAACTAACGTCACAGGCAAGGAGGTTTCTAATTGTGAAATCTAAAATCCTTATAAAGACCCTTACTCTCTGTGCCCCAGGAGACTTTTATGTTTTCTTGGTTATATATTCCCTTGGCTGTTAATGCAATTAGTATGTAATAACAATGTACACATCCACTCACAGGAAAAATGGTAGACATGCCAGTTGATTTGGCTTGGGGCCATCTCATTGGCAGCATGGTGAGACAACCTGGTATTAAACCATCTGTTATTAAGGGTATATTTTAAAATAGTGTTTTGTGTCTCCTGGGTTACTCACTCCCACTGATAGCAGCACAATATTAAGACTCCCATTTTTTCCTAGCAGCAGTGTGCAAGATAACAAGCTTTAAACATTTGCATTGTTCCCTCACTGCTCATGCTGTCTAGAATTTTATTTAATGAAATGTCTCCTATATAATGCACCCTGCTTTCTCACTGTTTTCTCATGGCAGTGAGCAAGCAGCTTTTGAACTGTGTTACTTAGCATAGTTGGACTGTTTAGAGTCCCGGGCCCTAAGTAAAACTGGCCGGAGCTTTTGTCCTTATGAATAGCGAGCTGCCAATCTGTCTTAAGAGAATTGCTACAAACAGAAGAGTAGAATATGATCTACAATTAACAATAAAATACTTCTTTCAATTTGCTTCTTTCACATTGGTTTGCATGGATTACTTTCCTTTATATTAATTTAGGAAATTAACTCCTCATCCTCACAAATCTTCAACCAGGTCCTCATTGCCACCTGTTGCAGTCAGTAGCAAAATCCTGCCGCACAAATTTTTAGAATTAAGTTTGTGCATGGTAGAAAAGGATAGTATTCCTTTGAAAGATGGGCAGCCACGCCATTTAACAAAACTATCCAATGTAAGTCAATTCAGAAAACCACCTTGCCTTACAAAAGTAAAATTTACTAATTTGTACCTTACTTTAAATCCCTTTTGACCAGCATAAGAGAACTGACTTTCAGTTCAAAACTTCTATGTATGCCTCAGACCTCGGTGGGAACAGGTTTTTGGTTTTTCAAATTTTCTTTCACAGTTGCCTTTTCTAATTGACTGTTCCCAAGTATAACTAAAATTTCCCTCTAAGTTTTCTAAGCACTTTCACATTCCCATATTTAATTCCATTCAGACTGAATGTTTTATATATGTATAGTGCACAGCCAATTTTTAACTCAATTGACCGCAGTGCCCTTGCCATAATGCCTTATTCATCACTCCCACCTTATATATAAGCAGGCACATGCTAGTTGTCAAAATGCAAAAGGGAATTTCTATATGTTGTTTAGAACAAAGGAGCTAGCTCTGCTTCTTCCTCTCCTTGCTGTCTCAGAAGGTGTCCTTTATTACATGTACAGGATCCAAGTATTTTGCTCCTCGGGAATGAAAAATGATAGCTTCAGACTGCCTTTAAAAAAAATGACAAATTCTGTTTCTGCAGATTATCACCCTGCTTATGGATTTAAGAATCCCTCTGAGATTTACTCTTACTTCCTTGAGAATTCAGCGTTCCTCTCAAAGCACCCCCCATTCCACCCCGCAGCCGCCAAACTCAACTGCACTGTTTCAGAGTGCAAGAAAGATGAGAAAGTTTGCTCATCCCGATGGTCTGGAAACTCTTGCTTAGTAAAAAACACTTTCTGAGATGTCTAAGGTGCTAGAATTATTGCCTCGGTAGATTTTTAATGTGCAAAACCCACAGAGAAAGTTGGCTGGAGGTACGGCGAAGCATTGTGTTTGTTCAGGAAGGAGCTGTGGGGTTAGAGGCTGAGCAACGCCTCTCCCTCTGCTTCCTGGGTGAGAGCAGCGAGGCGTGCCCCTTAGCAGAAGCGAGCAGAGAGGGAGAGCAGTAAGACTCACCGGCTTCCCCATTTTTCTCAGGATCGGGGGTTTGTTCCTCAATTGAGAGCTGGAAGAGGCAAACCTGAGGGTCCTCCAAGCAGGCTGCTCGGGCAAGTACCGGCTCTGCTCTTCGCCTCGGATCAGCTGAATGGCTGGGGCGTTCAGGAAGCTTGCTCTGTCCAGCTGGGAATCGCTCCCCCTCTCCAGGGTGTGTGCTTACATGCCTCTCAGTCAGAGCAAAAAAAAAAAAAAATACCAAACTCAGGTCAGCCTAACAGGTTTCCTTATATAGGTAAACATGAATTGCATTCCTGGTGAAAGAAGTTAACTCGGAGCCCTCGGTAACCTGGTTAACCCTATACATGCCAGAAGGGCTCAGAATCAGTTGCCCTGCAGAGGGTTTGGTTGCAGTACAAAGGGATTTGTGAGATTTAATTAAAAGCATCTTTATCCTGGCAGTCTGCAAAAATTGGCCCTTTTAGTGTAACTGAGAGTTAATAACTAGTATTTTATATCACACATGCTGACCAACATTATATTATCATAAGGCATTGTAGGGAAAAAATCAAAGTATAGGATGTCATAATTTGTCTTTCATGATTTCAAAACTAGGGAAGTTAATTTTGAGATTATTTTCAAAGAGGTAAAAATTGTGACAGAAAGGGAATGAGAAGAGAATAAACTTCCAGGAAACAAGGCACAACTGACTTATTTGAGCACTGTAACTATGCTATTAAACTTTCCCAGGCCTTTAGGAGATAATACAATATAAACATTTAATGTTTATTTACTTTGCAATGCAATGATTGCTAATGTATTTTTGATGGGCGGAATTTCAGTTTAATGATATCTATGGCAGTAATAATCTTTCCCAACCTACATATTATTTGATTTGTTCAAAAAATATAAGATTTGTGAATTTGCATTGTTACATGTAAAAATTACAAGCAATTTTACAGATTTAAGAAGAAAAAAATACATGTGCCAGTGAACTCTATAGATGGAAGAATTAACTCCACTTTGAAATACAGTTTAAAAGACATGTAAGGTTTCTAATACTTGACTCTTTCTCTTTACTTTTTCTACATCATAGTAAAGTAGTAATTATTTTTCATTGTAATCCATTTCACTAAAGACTTAATAGGAAGTTGACATAATTAGATGAAAGATTTTCCCATGCTTAATGGAGATGAAGACTGTCTAATAAGTATAAGCAGTCCTTAAAAGAATCTCTTGCTATTATTATGTCCGCCACTGACTGCTCCTTGAGTAGTGACAATCTTATTAAAAATACCTTAGTGCTGTTTTGGTTCCCTGGTTCAGGAAGGAGAGACAATGGATGTTGACATGCCATTGAAGACAGCACCAATGCAAACCTATCACAAAGAATCTCTCTAATTGCACAGTCAAGAACAATAACTAAACTCTGAAAAGCATTTCACTTTGGGCAAAGTCAATCACTCTTTTTATCTCCATAGGAATGCTGTAAAGTGTGTTTATTTCCTTTTCACACCAATAAAATGAACATAGAAAGATAAAGTGATTAGTCCTCCAACATCTCAGGATCAGTTTGTCAGAGATCCCATTCCCCAGATAGTCTAAAATTTAATTACAATAGCATTTTGGAAATAAAATCCGTTTTAAGACACATAAAAACATTAACATGGTACTTTCCCATACCCAAATTTATTTTTAATAATAATATGTTCATATTTTTAAATAGAATTACAAACTAACTAAAATACTTTCTATAAAATCGTAATTTTTGATAATATGACTGCATTTGAATATCAAACAGCATAAAATGAGTTCAGAAGTGCATGTTTATTGAATATGAGTTTGGGTTGTAAAATACTATGAAAATATGACTTGGAAAGTACTGCACACATTCTGTTTTCAGGATACACAGCTTTACTATATCAAGTTAAGACCCATCTTGATTCCTCCACTGGAAGGAATATTAGTGTATTCTCTTTATAGGGTTTTCACTAATATTTAATATTTGGTGTCATGCCAGGTATTTGCTTTTATTAATACAGTTTATGTATGATCATGTACCCTTTATATCCTCATAATTCCTGCTGAAGCAAGTTCTGTTTATGCAGGATCGTTAGAATTTATTAACATGTTGTTGCAAGACAAAGAATGCATTTTTTTCCAGGGGAGCATAAAGCTTTAAATGTCTTAAGTTGGCCTCCAAATTTATTTTTGAAATTCTTCATAAACAATTGTTTAGGTTTAAAACATAAAATACTATAGACTATAATTATCGAATACAAGTTCAAGATTTGAAATTAGGATATTGAAGTAACTTATTTCAAAGAGGAAACATAATTCTCTGTGAAATCCAGTTTGAACACTTCAAGAAATTGTTTGAGAAAAGCTGTGTCAGTGAGGTAGCATGGATTTCACCTTGCCATATAGGACCCCAATGAGAGAGTACTTACAGCTGAGAAATTAAAGTGTGCCAAAAAAAATAAAGCAAAACCTCACTTATGGGAAACTAAATAAAATACGGGACTTACTAGAAGTACAGAAAACACCATTGTGGTCTAAGGAAAATATCAGGGGATACATTTTCAAAATTCACAATGATTTATATCTAATGAGTCAAAACATTTGAAACCTTGGTCCTCATATGAGACACTGAGATGCTCCCTGTTTCTACTGCACCCAAAGTACAGCAGCTGAAGATCCATCTGATCTAGTTTTACTTCTGGGATGTATGACTTTGGGCAATTTGCTTAAAATTTATGATTCTCACATACAAAATGAAAGAAGAAACTTCTACATTTCACTGATTTCTGGAACTATCTTATGAGATTTCATGTTAATAAATCCACACATTATACTGATGCTTCTTTTAGTGTCAAGTATCCATCAACAATCAAGGTAAACAATCATCAACAGTCTATGTATATGCTGCTCATGGAGCTAGCCGACTTGAAGGAAATACTATTTACGTCTGTACTGTGCAATGTGAAACTGGAATGCGAGAATGTATAACTGAAGATCTACATGAATACAGGAATATTATTAGATGGACGCCATTCATGCTGTCTTTCTCACTACAAATGGTTCAAGTATTTAAGCCATTGAAAGGCTGATCTTATCATGATTAAGCTTTGTAGACCTGAGCTGAGTCAAATAAATACCAGAGAAGAGTGAAATATAATTCATTAGTCATATCATGAGGATGTTGTTTTTCTAACAGTTAAGGAGGGTCAATTCATTCACAAAGCAAGTTGGTGGTGCACAAAATGTTGGATACTCAGTGGAATTATAAAAAAAAAAGGAATGAAAAACCCCAACTTTATAGCCAGTTAATTAAAATATACTTTTTAATTTACTCTTTTGCCAAAAACATTTCATTGGCATGTTTTGTGTTTAAGGGACCCATGAAGGACACATACAAAAAAGGATGCACAGAGAATAATAATGGTCTTTAATTTGAATAAAACTGTCTACAACAAATAATATGATAATTGTATCAAGCAGGATAGGTGAGACTATGCCTGAGTAAGCAGTCCCCAAATCTCAATGCTTTAGAAGAAGAAGGGTATACTTCTCATTATGTTGCATGTTTCCACAAGGCAACAGGGAGATCTATTCATACCTACTCAGAAAATGTGTGAATGTGTCATTGTTTGCAACGTCTACTTTTATGGTTGATGAGACAGAAAATAGGAACTTGAGGAACTTGTACTAGCTTTCCAAGCTTTAATGGGTTCACGTAAAACCATTGATCATATTTGAGTTCACCATTCAGCTCTTATGTTGAGTGCAATGGAACCTAGTCAGTCATTCCCTACCTTAAAATGCCAGTATTTTTTAAAAAAATAATTTGGAGGATGCATACGTAATTTATCCCAGTCAGTCACTTGGGAGATGAAATATAAGATAAACTGAATTAATTTGAAGATAGTAACAAATTGGATAGCTAGTATCTTGGGTAATTATAGTTCAAACTGACCTTCACTAGTAGGGAATTAAATGATGTTAAGAGCTTTTGTTCAATGGTGATAAATAACAGATTGGAATTAAAAATATAAAATATATGTGATAGAAAAAAATTGTAATGATCTAGCATTATCCTGTGAATTAAATAAATATTGGCAGTCTACCACTTTTACCTGTAAAGTTTCTTAGGATGTATTATAAATATGGTGGTAGGAGCTGGAGAGATAAGCTCATCAGTTAAGAACTTACTGTTCTTGCAAAGGACCTGGGTTTGTTGTTCACTACCCAGATAGTAGGGCACAACCATCTATAAATTCAGTTCCAGGGAATCTATTGCCCTCTTCTGGCCTCCACAGGCACCAAGAACATGCATGTGTACATACATAAATGCAGACAAACATTCAAACACATACAATCTTTATATAAATATAGTGGTATTAACCCTGTGAGCACTAGTATAAGTTGTTTCCAAATACTGATTCTTAGATCCACAATTTAGTAAATCAACATATTCAGAAGCAAAAGCAGAGATTTCCAAAAATTGCAGATTAGAGGACAGAAAAGGTTTTTTTTTTATAGAGACAATAAATATTTTAAAATTTTGCCAGCAAAACCTTCTCTTTTGTAACTATTCATCTTTACTCTGTCACTGAGGTCCAGAGCAGCTATATTAAGTAAATGTGTGCTTGTGTGCCAACAAAACTTTATTAACCAAACTGGGCACCAGACTTTGACTATATACAGACCCCTGTTTTCTCCATTATAAGTCTTTCAGAATAATAACGTATCCAAAATAATTGCAAATGCCACGAGTGCAGGAGGAATACAACTTGGGTCATTTTCTTATGTGTCTTATTCTTTGCACAATGCTTTCTACAAAGATCCCAGTGAATAAGCTGATTAAATAAAGTAAATTAAATTATCCAAAATGCCACCACTGCATGAAAGTCCCAAAATATTCCAAAACAAATTGTAATATTTTTTTCTTGAAAGTGTCATGAATATGAAATTCAAAATATATTTTACCTTTCCAATATGTCAAATAGCTATTAATCATATTTTCCTTAAAGAACAAGAATATTACTTACAAGAAAATATGATAAAACACAGAAGAGTATTATAGTAATGAGATTACAAAGAAGAAAAACTAAAGAAGCAGAATATATTTGCAAAATATTTTTAACATTTTTTCTAAGTTCTTTATAATTAGCCAAGGACAATG